GGGGAGGGGGGGGAGGGATCAAAGGGAAGGGTCTTCCCTTCGACTCAATTACGAGGTTGCTCAAGGTCGGCTTGGCTGGAGCCCAGGGGAAGAGGAGTCCCAGGGGGGGGCGTCGTATCTGACCCGGGGGGGGGGGTCGCTACCCCCCCCCCTCCCGGCGGGGGAGGGATCAAAGGGAAGGGGCTTCCCTTCGACTCAATTACGAGGTTGCTCAAGGTCGGCTTGGCAGGAGCCCAGGGGAAGAGGAGTCCCAGGGGGGGGCGTCGTATCTGAGGGGGGGGGGGGTCGCTACCGCATGTGGGCCCAATCCCAACCCACTGGGCCCAATCCCAACCAACTGAGACCAATCCCAACCAATGCGAAAAGCAAACTGGGCCCAATCCCAACCATCTTGGGATAGGCCCACAATCGGATTTTAAGTGTAGAGAAGCCCAAGACGAGTGCGAAGACCAAGTGACATTCCTTATGTCAACGCACAGGATCTGGAAGCCAACACGCATGCTCGAGTTGGAATTGGTCTCAGTTTTGGTCTGCACACGAGCACTACGTTAAGATGAGCAAGAGGGCACCGAAGCGTAAACATCGATTCTAAAATATGCAAATGGATCTTCCTGGTACTAGTAGTAGTAGTCGTAGTAGTCGTAGTAGTAGTAGTAGCAGTAGTAGTAGTAGTAATAGCTGTTGTAGTAGTTGTAGTAGTAGTAGTAGTAGTAGTAGTCGTAGTCGTAGTAGTAGTAGTAGTAGTAGTAGTAGTAGTAGTAGTAGTAGTAGTAGTAGTAGAAGTAGTAGTAGAAGTAGTAGTTAGTGGTAGTAGTAGTAGTAGTAGTAGTAGTAGTAGTAGTAGTAGTAGTAGTAGTAGTAGTAGTAGTAGTAGTAGTAGTAGTAGAAGTGGTAGTAGTAGTCGTAGTAGTAGTAGTAGTAGTAGTAGTAGTAGTAGTAGTAGTAGTAGTAGTAGTAGTAGTAGTAGTAGTAGTAGTAGTAGGGTAGTAGTAGTAGTAGTAGTAGTAGTAGTAGTAGTAGTAGTAGTAGTAGTAGTAGTAGTAGTAGTAGTAGTAGTAGTAGTAGTAGTTTAGTAGTAGTAGTAGTAGTAGTAGTAGTAGTAGTAGTAGTAGTAGTAGTAGTAGTAGTAGTAGTAGTAGTCGTAGTCGTAGTCGTAGCCGTAGCCGTAGGTAGTTGTAGTCGTCGTAGTAGTTGTAGTAGTAGTAGTCGTCGTAGTAGTCGTAGTCGTAGTCGTAGTCGTAGTCGTCGTAGTAGTAGTA